AGACAATCTTTCGTTGTTGGACAAATCTGTCCACTTCATTGTTCCCTTCCCAGTACGATCCTTCTTTTGTGTGCGCTTTTTGGTGCTCCACATTTAAGTCGAGCTGTGTCCGTAGCTCGGCTATTTTTTCCCAAAGTTCTTTGTGTGCCACAGTTTTGCCTCTGGCAGACTCAAATCCATTCTCGATCCAAATTGACAAGTCTTCCTTCAAGGCTTGTGCACAATAGTAACTGTCAGTTACTATTCTTGCTGCCTTGATTTTCCTTTTGGTGAGTTCCAGCAATCCTTCCAAGACCGCCGTCACTTCTCCAGCTTGTGCGCTTCCACTCACTTTTCCTCTGGCTCTGTGTTGTTCTTTCCCACTTTGTGTCAAGATGTAACCCCAATACGCTGTTTCATCAGGGCCTTTTCGTGATCCATCTGTGAAGAGTACCCAATCATATGTCTTACCTTTAGGCTGAGTGGTGGTAGTTTTCTTTTGCTGTAATTGTGCCGGCCCTATTTCTAGGTCTGGATCCAGCAAAATGTCTTCCCACCTACCCCATCTGGTGTTGGTAGCTCTGGTGCTTTCGATGGTGCCTTTCCTCAGGTATTTGTGTACCTGACTTTGTGTTGTTACTTTGATGGGTTGACCTTGGGCCAGATCTTTCAGCGGCCCCCAGTATTTTGCCAATACTGCCAGTTCCTTTTCTTCTTGAGGGTACTTCTTTTCCACCGATGTCAGCGTTGTGCTCCACAATGTAATTAAGCCTCCTTGATCGTTACTCACCTTGACCATAGCGTCTTCATTTTCACAGAATATTTCTGCTGCCAACCTGGAGGTCAAGTTTCGGGGCTCAAGCCTGACAGCTTTCTGGATTACCTCTTTCAGCTTGTCAAGATCGGCTTGGTTTTTGAGTGTCCATGACCACACTTTTCCTTTTCGGCCTTCTGTTGCAGCTTCTTTTCTCAGGCATGCATACAAAGGTTTTGCATATTTCTGGTAGTTTGGCACGTGATCTCTCACGTAGTTACACAGGCCTAAGATTTTCTGCAGATCATTCTCACACCTGGGGGGTTGTATCAGTTGAACTTTCTCTCTGTAGCCATCTGAGAGACCCAAGTCTGCTGTGACCTGGAATCCCAGGTAGTTCACTTTGAACTGGCCAAACTGGCATTTTGCCAGATTTAGCTTGAGGCCTGCTTCAGAGATTCGTTTGACCACATCTTCCAGACGTTTAATGTGTTCTTCTTCAGTATCATCTGCGATGAAAACATCATCAATGTACACTGAAGCTCCAACATCTTCAAGTATTTCCAGGACGGCTGATTGGAATACATTTGGAGAGTTTCTGTATCCCTGAGGTAGTCTTTGCCACACATAACTTTTTCCTTTGTGTGTGAAGGCTGTTTTGCCTTGTGATTCACGGGCCAATCTGAGAGAGAAAAATCCGTTAGCCAGGTCGATGCAGGATTTGTATTTTTTAACTCTGAGCGTTTTTAAAGCTCCTTGGGGGTTGATGAGGCTGGCTCGATTTGCAACAGTTCTTCTGTTCAGGGCCTTAAAGTTAATCACAGGCCTCCAGCCTCCTCCTGCTGATTCAGGTTTCTTTACAGCCTGGATTGGACTGTTTGTGAGGGGATTAGGTTCTTCTCTGATGATCCCCAATGCATGCAGTTCTTTTACTATTTTGTCCATTTCGGCCACTGCATCGGGGTGGAGAGGGTACTGTTTCACAGGTGGGTGTACTCCTCCAACAATGTGATGACAAAATTTTGTACCCAAGTCACCACAATCATTTTTGAAATGGGCGACTCTGGCTGATTCAATTATTTGTTTCAATTTAATTTTCCCTTCTGAGGAAAAGTCACTTTCTTCCAGTTTTTGCTTCATCACTTCAGGGATATCCACTGGTTTATACCATGCTGGGGTGTTCGAGGGACTTTTCATTGTTTCTGTTTTTAGAACACCCAATTTCTTTCTGTTTGTTTTCACAGCCTCTTCAGGGCCATGTAGGATTTTCAAGTCTTTGACTGTTACCAAGTCATAAGGTCCTTTTATCCATCTCACATTTTTCCAAATTCCATATGGCATTTCTTCTATTGCCCCACTAGCCACTCGAACATATAGGTATCCTTCAGTCTCTAGGTCTCTCCGGGTCATGGATACCTCAGCCCCTGTATCCACCTCATAGAGGATCCCATCTACTTTTGTGTAGATGTGATCTCCTACCCAAAAGGTGTTTTCTAGGGCGACCCGGGACCCTGAGTCCGTCATTTTGGCGGCCCTCCGGCCACCTGTTCCCTGGCCTGACGGAGGGCATCTTTTTGTTCAGGGGTCAATTTGTTGTATTCTTCTGGGGGCAAGTATGGGGTTCTTCTTGGGCTTTGGTTCGGCTGAGCTGCCGGACTTCCTCTTCCAGATCCTTGCTGCCGTTGCGGCGAGGGCCTGTACTGCTGTCTCTGGTTGCTGGGCTGGTACTGCTGACTTGAGCCTTTGTCCCTCTGCTGAGGGGCAGGCTGCTGAAATTTAACCTGGGGGTTGCTTGGTTCCTTCAGGGCCGCTTTGGTAGGGACATTGGGCGGTTTCTGGGTCGATTCTTTTCTTCTTTTTTCHTCCCAGTACAGCATTTCCAGGTCATATTTCCTCACTGCTGCATCCATTTGTGCCACAGTGGTAGTTTGAATGGGCATGGTGGCAAAGGTGATATCACCTCTTCGCCCCTTTGTCACCATCCTTAGGGCCTTCACATACCTGGTGGGAGCAATGTTCTGTTTCAGTTGATGCCAGATGGGGGTTAATTTTTGTCCTTGTTCCAGCCTGAACCAAGCTCTATCAATGTGAGCATCTTCAYCATTTTCATCTTCAGGCACAAATTTCTCATAGTAGTCTTGGGCTGAATCTTTTTTATCGATGGGATGGCCTGTAATGTGACTCAGCCACAGGCGTTTTGCVGCCTCACATGTAGTGGAGTTCACCACTAGGGGCCAAACGTCTTTCAGATAGCTCTCTCTCCCTTCACCAGCATTTGGCTCTCTCAACAGAGTCTTTATTTTTTTATACTCACGAAACTCATCTGCGTTGGTATCCACTTCTTTAATAGATTTCCATTCCAGCACTCCTGCTGGGCCCCTTTGACCTAGGGCACTTACGGGCTGTGCTGGTTCATCTGAGAGCATCCYGTCTTCCTCTTCTCGTGCCATGTTTTTCACAAACTTATTTGCTGCTTTCTTCATCTTTTTCAGCATGACATCGTGGGCAATAGCCACATATGCTTGTCTGAAATTAGCTGTCAACCTTTTATGTGCAGCTAGAGTGGGATAAGACGGCATCATTATTATGTTAGCCCATTCCCCCACCTTGGCTCTTACCTTTATTTCCAGCTGTTCTTCCGTCTTTCCAGCCCACTCCGTGGGTATTGGGAAATCTCTTTGGTCTGCTTCAGGCACATAGGTCTTTCTTCCATCACTGGTCTGGATCGGTCCTTATTTTATTTCACGTTTGGACATGTGAAAAGGGGGATTGAAGAAATTTATAATTATTACAGATCAGTACTGATGCCAGAAACAGCACCAGTGTATATAAGGGTGTCTAATTATAACACTGTTAATGTTTGATCTATTATGTGTTAATTAAATTAGAGTAGATACATGTCCGAATCATAACAACACATAAGTGAACCGTTTTTAAACCATTAGATTGAGGTCTTTGTCTGAATGCCGGCAATTCAGCCATAGGTCAGCAGGGGGCGGACTCAGGCATTGAGGATTCTGTATATATACTGATCCATTTCCTGTTTTTCTTTTAGTGTGGTTTCGCTTGTCAGTCTGGTGGCAAATAAACCTCACTCCAGAATTCTGGTGTTGTATGGCAATCATTTCTATCACAGATTATTTTATTTAACACGTGTGGTTTCATCTGATTTCAGCCGATATTAAAACACGTATTTCTTACACAGAGTTGAATGTGCTTCACAAAAGTTTGATTTACTTGGACTTAGTGTGCGTTGTTTAAGTGTTCTCTTTATTTATTTGAGCAGTGTATGTATATATACTTAACATGAAATTTGTTTCTTATATYAMTGGTAAACTTTAAATTTATGGTTAAATGYAACAAAACTAATTTAATAAAAATAAACGACATAAAAATAAATTAAAAACATTCCTGTCCCTGAGCTGTTGGCTTGAAGTAACTGAGCAATTTAGTTGGATAGCACAGTACTGAAAATGAGCTGCTTTAAAGTCACCATGAAACATAAACTAAATCTGCCATAATGCAGCTACTCACTAGAAACTCATCAGTGAGTAAAACTTTTTTTTTTGATTTACTTTTAATAATATTTCTGTATTTATTACAGATTTATTCAGCCATACACTTAGTTCTTATCCATGTTTAAAAGAGGACATGTTAAAACTCTGTTTACTCAAAGTTAAACATGAAACATCAAAGTTCATTACAAGTGGTCCTTCGAGGGCCACCATAACGCTCATGTGGCCGTCAGGGAAAATGAGTTTGACGCCCCTGATTTAAATGATACAATCGTTACCTGTTAAAAAGTGGTCACTGCAAACTGTTGCATTGTTCGTTTCCAGACCTCTTGTTTTTAGCTTTGAGGAGTTACAGAAGCCTCGGTCAGACTGAATGAAGCTTCTATAACTCCTCATGACATGCTCAGTCCGGCACTTTATGACCACAGTGTACCATCTTCTGATGGCTACTTCCAGCAGGATAACGCTCCATGTCATAAAGCATGAATCATCTCAGACTGGTTTCTTGTACACAACAATGAGTTCACTGTACTCACATGGCCTCCACAGTCACCAGAACTCAATCCAATAGAGCACCTTTGGGATGTGGTGGAACAGAAGATTCACATCATGGATGTGCAGCCGACAAATCTGCAGCAACTGTGTGATGCCATCATGTCAATATGGACCAGACTTTGAGGAATCTTCCAGTATCTTGTTGAATCTATTTCGCAATGGATTAATGCAGTTCTGAAGGCAAAAGTGGGTCCAACCCGGTCCTAACAAGATGTACCTAATAAAGTGGCCGGTGATGTGTTCTCTATCTGAGGGTGGAACAGGCTGCACAAGTGCACTGGATATACAGTACTTGCCTATCCTGCGTCACATAGAATTAAGCATTTGAGATGCAACACACCCAAAACACTACTCTGGGAGACACCAGCACTTAATGTGATACTGCGATGAGATGACCCAGACGCAAGAAAATGCAGCGTTGCAAGACGTTTTGTCATAGGTGATATGGCATGGCTTCTTTTTGTGACTGGTTCCAAATCAGCCCTTAGCTCCTTCAGCAGCTCAAAGATGGCACTGCTGGGTAGATGAAATGTCTGTACTATTTTTTTGTTCTGACATTCCAAATTATGTTGACGCATGGCATGCACAAAAAATTCTCTCTCTCTGTTGACTTTCGTTGCACCTGTGCCTCCTTCTGCAACAGTGATCGCAGACATTTCTGCCAGTTTGCGCTTGACTTTTAAACGTGCAAAATACAGGAGGCAAAATCATGAACTGCAACCAATTTCAGGTTTGAGAAATCACACTGTAAAATAAATATAACTATTTTATGTGATGTGCTAATCATCATATAATTTGCGAATTCCTGAAGGCAGACATGCTGAATGAGTTGTGGCTAGGGATGGATACCTTTGGCAATTGAATCGATTCGGCACCAATATCCGGTACCGATACCAGTACTTAACGGTACCAATTTTTGGTACTTTGTGTGTGTAGGTGTGTGTGTGTTTTAAATAATAAACTTTTATTTTTAACATATTTCTCAATATATAAAATTAACAAATGTCAAGACAACATCCAACTCTTTGTATTGTAACATCAGTTGTGTCTTATTTAAAGTGCAAGCTCTTGAAAACAACAAGACTGTTTTGTCTTATTACACAAATTAAAATCCAGCTCCACGTATTTCTATTGATGTCATTTCCCCGCTAGAAAACTGTGTGATGGAGGTCCATGGAAGGCAAATAAGTTTAAATCAAATAAGCAAAAGAGGACTGAGTTAAAATAAATAAAAGGTATTCAAGCTACGTTTTGAAGCATCCAAAACACGTCCAACACTTCAACTTGGCTGTTGGTGCTCTTTCAGGTCAGACGCGTTCGGACTGTCGGGAAGCGCCTCTGTTGTTTTCCTCTGCCGGTCTCTGTTTAATGGCGGATGAAATAAAGATAGTGGCAGTATTTTATTTACTTTGAGCAAGCGAACGTCGTGCTCACAAGATAATTAATCCACCAGATAATTCAGAGGCGGTTTGTTCAACAAGTTTAGGAGCTGCGAGCTGCGAGGCTTTCAAGCTACGTTCAGACTGTTTACTGAAACAGGCGGCTGCTGACGTCATTACGCTCTTGCGTAATGCTGCGTTCAGGACAAGCATGGAAAACTCACCACTCTTATGCAAATACGGTCACAATGATGCGTTTAGGTACCAAAACATGGTACCGTTTGATGTTACGTGAATAGGTTCTCGGTAGTACCAACAGAATTCGGTCTGTACTTAAAAAAGTATCGAATTCGGTACCCATCCCTAGTTGTGGCTGCTGTTTTGATCATCTGATAAATGCAGTCCTCACTGCACTCCATTAATAAATCAGCTTTGTGTGCACTATCAGGTTTGCTCATGGATTTACATGTAGCAAAGTGTTGATAAATCAGGGCAACAGTTGGATATTCCAACAAGACCATGGCCCCAAACACATCAAAACTGTTTTAAAGTTCAAATTGAGCATAATATTTATGCCCATAGTGGAAATTTTGTAAATTTCAACAGCAATTGTATGTATAATGTTTATAACATATTAGTGCTTGTACAAATTTGATTGTTCAGTCATTTGAAGGCTAAAAAAGAAAAAAATGAATACAAAATAAAATTCTAGAAAATTACATTGTTTTTGAGATGGAGCTCTTTTAAAATGCTGGAAAAGCTAAAGACATATTAAAAAGTAATTGACAGTATAATTAAATTATGTTCTTTGCTAATTGTTTTACAGACTTGAATATGTAGGTAGAGATTTTATTTTAAAATAAGTTTTGTGGTTACTGTGTGACTTCAAATTGGCTGAAAACACAATCAAATCATCTCATCCAAATGTTCAAACTGTGAGATTGACAACAATGTCAGTAGATGGGTCTTTATGCAAAGCTTTGTAATTTCTCTGTTAAAGAGGGAGGTATTGGCTGCATGATTGCAGTTGGTGCCTGAAGTTGACATTTGTAGGATTGACATGGTGATGTGAAATTTATTATTCCCTGTAATGAGCTGACAGATATTGCATTGTTGTGCTTTAATTATGTTAGACTGGAAATGTCTTTTCAATAATCAGAACTACCTTCATGACTTGTATTTAATTTTCTGGATTTTCTATTTCCTTGTGTCTGTCTGTAACACTTCCACTTGCGAAAAGGACAACAGTGCCAGGAGCATGATGTATTTTCCATTTAAATGTATGGATAAGTGGTGTGTTTATGCACTGTTTTCTTGATAACAGTGTAAAAATTTGTTTTATATTTTCCTTTTTTGTGAATTTGGGCCACATGCAAGAACATTTTTGTATTTTCATCCTAAATTTCGCTTACTTTTTTCGTTTGAAGTGTTTGTACAAACAAGCCACGTCAGATTCAACAAACGCAACAAATCTTAAATGAGCAGTGTAAACATGATGAATGCCACCTGTTTGTATTCAAGTGCTCATGCACGAGTAGAGGAAGTTAGCATAATTAGCATAATTACTATAAAAGTCTATGTTTCCAGCTCAACATAGCAGGAAGTGTTCACTCATGAAAATGAGGAAAGAAGAACTTCATGAGTTCTGAGACTGAAGTCCTGCTCTCAGAGTCATCTTTAGCAGCATCAGCTGTGGAATTAAAGGAGCTGCTAAAGCTAAGGAATGAAATGACTGCGGTGCTGAAGAATCAAGAAAGCCTTTTAAAATGTCTCCAATATATCTGTGGCACTTTGAAGGAAGACAGTCTTGCATACATAGCTGATGTGCTGAATAAATCTCAACAAAATAAAATTTGATTAAAAAATAACAATCTGTGAATAAAGCTCATTACAGTGGTTTGCAAAAGTATTCATACCCCTTGAACTTTTCCATATTTTGTCACATTACAACCACAAACATAAATATATTTCACTGGAATTTAATG